CTCCAAAGGCGGTTGGAAGCTCGCTACTCTTCTTCCAAGGATTATTGACACTATTGTTGATTCCGCGGAGGATATCTTGCGTTTCCATCCTCCTGAAACATTCGACAGTAAGAACACTACGTTCAAAATCAAAACCAAATCAAAATCAAAATCAAAATCTAATCAACATATTGCTCATCCCCTTGTTCAGGGGACAAATTCTTCTGGTTCAGAGATGAGGAATTTGCTAGACAGACCCTCGCAGGTCTCAACCCCTACAGCTTAAGGCTTGTTACGGTATCACATCCTCTGTACTCTACCAACTTCCTTCTTTAACGTACAACCCAGTTACCTAACCTCGAGGAGTTGAGTGCAGGAATGGCCATTGAAGAGTAAGCTTGACCCTGCTGTTTATGGTCCTCCTGAATCAGAAATCACCGGAAAAATAATTGAGCAACAAATCAGAGGTTTCATGACTCTGGATGAGGTACGTAAGCCCTTGGACATCGTTTACACTTGGATTCTATATATCCAACTTCTTTGTTTTCGAATGAATGCTTTGTGGGGGTGCAGGCGCTGAGAAAGAAGAGGCTATTCATACTTGATTATCACGATCTCCTCCTTCCATACGTAGCCAAAGTGCGAAAACTTAAAGGCACCACACTCTATGGTTCGAGGACATTGTTCTTCTTACACTCAGATAGCACTCTAAAGCCCTTGGCTATTGAGCTCACTAGGCCACCCATCGATGGCAAACCACAGTGGAAAAAGGTTTTCACACCCTTCTGGGATGCCACTAGCGTCTGGCTTTGGAGGATTGCCAAGGCTCATGTTTTAGCCCATGACTCTGGTTATCACCAACTTGTTAGCCATTGGTAACTCACTTTCCTTTTAAACTAAAAATACTCACTTTCCTTTTAAACTAAAAATATGGTCAAATTCTTCTTGTGAAAAGCTCACAGTTTTCCCACTTCGATTTGTTTTTGTTGTCGTTGTAGGCTTAGAACTCATTGTTGTGTAGAACCTTACATCATCGCATCAAACAGACAACTGAGTGCAATGCACCCAATCTATAGACTCCTGCATCCTCATTTTCGATACACCATGGAGATCAATGCACTTGCTCGCCAAGCTCTCATCAATGCAAATGGGATCATTGAGACTTCCTTTTCACCTGGAAAGTACTCCATGGAATTTAGTTCTGTTGCTTACAAAGAGCAGTGGCAGTTCAACTTAGAAGCTTTGCCTGCTGACTTGATTAACAGGTGCTTATTCTTCAAATCTCTTTCATCTTAATTAAAAAACCAACCAATTTGTGATCTCCTTCTCTTACTATCTTGTGTTGTTGTTGTTGTTGTTGTTCTGGGAAGGGGGTTGGCAGTTGAGGACCCAAATGCACCACATGGTCTGAAGCTTACCATTGAAGACTACCCTTTTGCCAACGATGGCCTAATCCTTTGGGATGCCATCAAAGACTGGGCAACAGAATATGTGAACTACTACTATCCAGATCCAAGTCTTGTTAAGTCAGATGAGGAACTTCAAGCATGGTGGACAGAGATTCGAACAGAAGGGCATGCAGATAAGAAGGATGAACCATGGTGGCCAGTTCTCAACACTCCAGAAGACCTTATCAGTATTGTCAGCACCATCATGTGGGTAACCTCCGGGCATCACGCGGCAGTCAACTTTGGGCAATACTCGTTCGGTGGATACTTTCCAAATCGACCAAGTATTGCTAGAATCAATGTTCCCGTGGAAGAAAAAAACAAAGAGAAATGGGAGTACTTTGTTAAGAAGCCAGAGAATGTGTTATTAGAAACCTTTCCTACACAGCTTCAAGCCACCAAAGTCACGGCTGTTTTGAACATACTGTCGAGTCATTCTCCAGATGAAGAGTACATGGGAAAAGATATGGAACAAGCATGGGCTGATGAGCCTTTTATAAAGGGGGCATTTGAGAAGTTCAGTGGGAGATTGAAGGAACTAGAAGGGATAATTGATAAAAGGAATGCCGACCCAAGTCTAAAGAACAGATATGGAGCCGGGGTGGCGCCTTATGAACTTTTGAAGCCTGAATCAGAGCCTGGAGTGACAGGAAAAGGAGTTCCTTACAGTATTTCCATTTAAAACCCCATGCCATAGTGCTTTGATAAATCACTTATGCTTCAAATAAAAAATAGGTGATTGAGTTGCAACAATGTCGAATGTATCCAAACCACTTCATATTAAAATAAATAAACGTTGTTAAGATATAGATCTGAATTTGAGCTTATTGAATAAGCATGAACGAATTAGAAGGTTGTGCTAATGAAGGAAGATGGGTCGGGGGGGAGGGAGACTTCAACAGCCCCTTCCAGCATCTGAACCACTTTGTTCATGGTGGGCCTTAGAGATGGTTCCTCTTGGATGCACCAGATTGCAATCATCACGAACCTCTTTACTCTCTTCAGGTCCACCTTTGCTTCCTCGTCATGTTCTACCAACATCTCCATCTTCCCGTCTCTGAAGCAGTCATAACTCCAATCTGCCAACACCATTCTATCTTCATCCTCTGCTTTTCCCTCGAAGTTCCTTCTGCAGCATATAATCTCCAGCAACAATATCCCAAAACTGTAGACGTCCACCTTCACTGTGATGGGGAGGCTTCTAAACCACTCCGGAGCTACGTATCCTTTGGTTCCTCTGATTGCCGTCAGTGTTCGAGTTTGATCCTTTTTCAGAAGCTTTGCCAAACCGAAGTCTGCAATTCGCGCGGTAAAAGAGTCGTCCAGAAGGATGTTTTGAGGCTTAATATCACAATGGATGGTCTGAGTACTGCACTCTTGGTGTAGATAGCAGAGTCCTCTTGCCGTCCCTAAAACAATTTGAATCCTTGAATACCAATTTGGTTTGGAATCCCCAAAAAGGTAATCTGCAACACACCCATTCTTCATGAACTCATACACCAGCATTCTGTGTTCTCCTTCATTGCAGAAACCAACCAATCGAACTAAGTTCTTGTGGTTTGTTCGAGCAATAGCGCCCACTTCTGCTTTAAATTCCCGGTCTTCCCCTTGCACCACGTGGTCCAACTTTTTAACGGCCACCAAGTTGTTGTCCCCGGAATCAATAATCCCCTTATAAACAGTGGCAAACGAGCCACACCCCAACTGCTCACTGAATCCACTCGTGGCCTTGTTCAGCTCTTCATAGCTGAAGGTCCTCAGATTGACGCCTAAAATGAAAGGGTCTCCGGTAACATCCCTGGATCTCCTCATCCTTTTCCTGAATCGGCATACAACCAATAATGCGAGTAGGAAAAAGAGCAAGTTTAGAAACGCAGAGCTTCCCAATAGAACTGATACAATGACGGCTACTGTAGATTTGGTCCCGCGTCGCTGGACAAGATTATTAGGTTGGAAAGTGGAGTTTTGTTTTCTAATTTTGAGAAGAGCTCTTCCGCCAGCACTGGGATCCATTCTTCCATAAGAAAGAGGAAACCTCTTCTTCCTACATTCACCATCTTCGAAAATGGCGGCCGCACAAAAACAATCATCCAAACATTCGTTTCTGCACCATTCCTCATTTACTGGTCGGAATTGGCCGTAATCACCAGGAGGCCAATCTGTATTTGGCAAAGCCACAAATTGGAAGTTAGCAGTGTCTTGAGAGGATTGATTGCAGCTCTGAGCTTCAAAGTTGGGTTTACACCCCTTAAATTCATCATCTGGATCAACCAAGACATAGCTTGGTGGACAAGTGCAGACTGCCCTCTGGTCACGCCCAAGACTACAATAGCTATTAAATCCACACACTCCACCTCCCATACCAGTATTGACCAAGGTACACACGTTTTCGGAGTCCGATACTTGCGACCAAGCTTGAGGCATAGACGAATTACGTGTCTTTGGGTAAGCATACAGTCTGAAAGCCCCATCATACTCAAGAATGGCCCGGAGGTAAAAATTCTGTGCTGAAAGGGTATTTGATATGGAGTATGTGAGAATGGTATTATTCTCGGCAACGAGATAAAGGGAACCAGAGAGGTTGAACACAAGCTGGAAGCCAGAGCCTACAGTGCCACTTGCCCAATAGGCTCTGCTATCTAAATCGTAAGGGTATTCTCTGGGGTAAAGCACCAGATTCCCATCAGTTTGCATCCAAAGTTGAAATCTTCCACTTGAGTAAGTGGCTTCTGAATAACGAGCAACAAGAGATTTGCCAATGTTTAGAGTTTGTGATGGTAGAAGTGTATCGGTAGGCCAGTCGAAGCTTTGCCACAAAATTTCAGAATCAGTGGTAGCCAACACCAAGTTGCCACTATCAAGCATGGCAGCATGGGAAGCAGAGTGATTAGATGGAAAGGAAGTTGAGGTCCATATTAGATTGCCTCCGGGATCGTTGAGCACCAGTTGACCAGCAGCAGTGAATAGAATTGTGGATCCTGAAGGTACCAATTTATCGCGATTAGCCGACCAAACGATAGTTTTGTCGTGAATGTTGTTGAACCAAATGGCCAACAAGAAACCTTTGGCGTCCCAGGGGAGAAACCCAAAAGCAAAAACACCAGATTGGGAGGGCCAGTAGGAGAGATTAGTGTCAGCGCTGCGTGGAATTGCAGTGAGAGATGATCCCAGAGTTACATTTTTAAAGGGCTGTGAAATGGAAGAAGTTGGCAAAACAACAACAATAAGAAGAAGAAGAAAGCAGTAAGATGATCTGCTTCGAGAAGCCATAAGGCAAAGAAGGTAGCGTTTGCGAAGATAGCATTTCCAATACCCATTTATAACCCTTTTCTTAATCATCTAAGGAAGCTTCCCATCCATTTCCAGTTCCCAGTGTGGAAAGAGGAAATTGGACAGAACAGAGGTCAATGCAGAGCCCCAAAGAAAAGTCTTTTTTTTTTTTTTATAAATTTCAACATGGGCATGGCCACCCCCTTCTTTGGGCTTAAGAAAACGCCAAAACGGTGTGCTCGTTTAGTTGAATCTCATATTTCATCGGTCAAAACATATTAAAGTGAGAGGAAAGCGATGGTGTTGGTGGAACTTCAAGAGTTCAAAGTAGCCTTAAAGTTGTAAGGCTAATAATAGTGTCAACTTGTTTGAAGGGTTCAACGTCTAGAAATTATGCTGACTCAATAATTTCTTTCATCCCTAATAAGCTACGAAATTGAACTGATAAATGAAGATGGATCAGGAGGAGCTGAAACTTCAACGGCACCTTCAAGCATCTGTACGACTTTCTTCATGGACGGCCTTAGCGATGGCTCCTCTTGAATGCACCAAATAGCAATCTTAACAAGTTTCTCCACCTTCTTCATATCACTCCTTGCTTCCTCATCATTCCTTATCAGCATCTCCAGTTTCCTTGCTTTCATGCAGTCATAAGCCCAATCACTTAGTATCATTTCATCTTCATGCTCTGTTTCTTGTTCAAAGTTTTTTCTGCAACAGATCATCTCCAATAGTAGAGTCCCGAAGCTGTAAACATCAACCTTCACTGTAATGGGCAGGCTTCTGAACCACTCCGGAGCTACATACCCTTTTGTTCCTCTAATTGCAGTCATGGTTCGAGTCTGGTCTTTCCTCAGAAGTTTGGCCAATCCAAAGTCTGCAATTCGTGCATCAAAAGAGTCGTCAAGAAGGATGTTTTGGGGCTTGATATCACAATGAATGATCTGAGTGTTACACTCTTCGTGTAAGTAACTTAGCCCTCTGGCAATTCCTAGGACAAGTTGCGTTCTTTGATGCCAAGTTGGTTTTGAGGGCCTAAAAAGAAAATCTGCAAGAGACCCATTCTCCATGAACTCATACACCAGCATTCTATGCTCTCCTTGGTTGCAGAAACCAAGCAATCGAACCAAATTCTTATGGTTTGTTCGAGCAATAGCGCTCACTTCAGCTTTAAATTCTTGCTCCCCTCCCTCTCTCACTACATTGTCCAACTTTTTAACTGCCACCAAGTTGTTGTCCTTCACAGAATCAAGAGTTCCTTTATACACAGTAGCAAACGCACCACTTCCCAGTTGCTCCCTGAATCCGCCAGTGGCCTTGTCGAGCTCTTCGTAGCTAAAAGCTCTCAGGTTCACATCTAACATTAAAGGGTCTACTTGAACAACCTTTGGTTTCCTTATACTGAATCGGTAGCCAATGAACAGAGTGAGCAGGAAGAAGATGATGTTTAGAAATAAAGAGCTTCCCAACACAACCGATCCAATGATTATCTTAGTTTTGTTCCTACCTTTCTCGTCAAGGTTAGGAAATGGCAGAGTAGAATTGTCTTTCCTGATTTTGATCAGAGCTCTTCTGTTGACGTCAGCGTCCATCCTCCCAAAGGAAAGAGGAAACTTCTTCTTCCAACACTCCCCATCTCCAAAAATGGCCACCGCACAAAAGCAATCGTTTAAACATTCGTTTCTGCACCAATCCTCGTCCACTGGTTGAAAGTAACCGTAGTCAGCTTGAGGCCAATCCGCATTTTCAAGAGAAAAAAATTCGAAGTTTTCGGTTTCAGGAGACGATGATGCATCACACCTTTGAGAGACAAAAGTGGGTTTACAACTTTTGGTCACATCATTTGGATCAAACACGGTATAGCCTGGTGGACAGGTGCAAAATGGCCTTTGATCATCCCCAAGCTGGCAGTAACTATTAAACCCGCATACTCCACTTCCCATACCATTACTAATTCTGGTGCAGATGTTCAAAGGAATGGATCTCGACACTTGAGACCAGGCTTCACGCCAAGACGAATTACTTGTACCCATCTTTGGGTAAACATACTGTCTAAAAACCCCGTCATGCTCGAGAACTGCTCGTTGGTAGAAATTTTGAGTTGGCGGATTATTTGATGTCAAAGTAGCAACAATGGTTTTATTCTCTGCAATGAGATAAATAGAACCAGAGAGGTTGAAGACGAGTTGGAAGCCGAAGTTTACAGTGTTAGTTGCCCAATAACTTTGACTTATTGAATCCACAGGGAAATTTGTGGTGTAAAGCACAAGATTCCCATCACTCTGCATTGCAAGTTGAAATCTTCCATTTGAGTAATTTGTTTGTGTATAGGGAGCAACGAGATTTTTGCCCAGATTAAGAATCTGGGATGGTAAAATGGTATCGGTAGGGTAATCGAAACTTTGCCACAGAATCTCGGAATCAGCAGCAGCCAGAATGAAGTTTCCAGTATCAAGAAGAGCGGCGTAGGAAACAGATTGATTAGTAGCTGCGAAAGACGTAGCCCATACTAGCTTACCTCCAGGGGCGTTGAGCACGAGTTGATTACGTGTTGTAAGTACAAGCGTGGATCCTCTGGGTACCAACTTGTTCCGATTAGCAGACCAAACGACGGTTTTTTCAACAATTTTGTTGAACCAAATGGCCAACAAATAGTCTCCCCCTCCAGACTGCCGGAAACCGAAAGCAAAGTGACCAGATTCAGAAGACCAGAAGGAATCGGCATGATGGGCAGTGAGAGATGCGCCTAAAGTGATATTCGTGTTTCGCTTTTGAGCAACGGTAGAGGACGGGAAAAGAAAAAGAAGCAGAAGTAGAAGAAGAGGCGGAGAAGCCATGGAATTGAAGGAATCAAGAGTTGGAAATGAAGTGGGTAATTAAGGTGCGAAGGATAGCGGGGCAGATTGGTTGGATGTGAGTTTCCGAAGAATATTTATGAGAAATGGAAAGCAGAGGCAGAGAGGGAGAGAGTCGAGTGTTGGTACAAGTCATTGTCGGCCGGTCGTTGACTTGGAATTTAGAAGTCGTTAATTGAAGGCACAACACAGACAGACAGACAGACAGGACCTTCACCTCTCCATATTACACTCGATATATCATTTCAAAATTAAGAGATTACCCCTACGCTTACGTTAGTGGCCCAATTCCAATCTTATATTTTCAATTCCATCAATTCCCTTCGCCATTCAAAAGAAAAGAATGTGTTCTAAGTCTGGAGATGTATGTATGTATATGTATATCTATCACTTTTGTTTTCCAAAAAATTAGAAACCAATAGTATAATCACAACCGGTATCCCTCTCTTCCTCTTCTTCCTCTTCTTCCTCTTCTTCCTGTTCCTGTTCCTGTTCCTGTTCCTGTAAGCTAAACAAAATGCTAATTTACAATAACAATCACTAATCCAAGAGAATCTATCTCCTCCTATCTCCGGGAACGCTTCCGGGGCTTACCACCGCTCACCTCCTCCCTCCCCTCCTTGTTGAAATATCATCACTAGCCCAATAGAGTCAAGCCCAATAATTGTACTAGCCCAATAGAGTCAAGCCTAATTGTACGAGCCCAGTATATTTATTTTAGTAGAGATTTTAGGAGAAAGAGATGTAGATATTTTAGGAGAAAGATTCAATTTGTTAGGTCTAGATTCAAATCGGTTAGGTCTAGATTTAGATTGGTTAAATATAGATTGTTTACTCTTAGTATAAATACCCCCACCCTACCTAGGTTATTCATCCAAGAAATCTAAAAACAATAAAAAGCAGAAGTATTCTACAGAGTGTCTTGTATTCTCTTCTCGATTGGTCTTAATAAAGAGAGCGAGTGTTTCCCACAGTGAGTTGTGTTCAACATTTGGTATCAGAGCGAGGTTAGTGTAGGTTATCTGATCTCTTGGAATCCTTAGTATGCTCTGTGGTTGCAGCTCTGCCTGATCTTCCACATCAGAAACGATTTCTTGAGATTAGTGGTGAGTGAGTTTCTTTTGTGTCGTGAGAAGTCTGTGACTCTGCAAGTCTTGTGTCAAAAGAACTTGTTTGGTATTACTGAGGTATGGCCAACACGATGAGTGATTTCCAAATCGTTGGAGGAATTAAGAAACTCAACAACAACAACTACAACACGTGGGCAACATGCATGATGTCCTATTTACAAGGACAGGATCTTTGGGAGATCGTTGGCGGGTGTGAAACTACGCCGCCAGAGGAGGATTCTAACGACGCCTTGCGCAAATGGAGAATCAAAGCAGGCAAAGCAATGTTTGCCTTGAAGACCACCATCGGAGAAGAGATGTTAGAACATATTTGGGATGACAAGACACCGAAAGAAGCATGGGACACATTCGTGATGTTGTTCTCAAAGAAGAATGATACGAGACTACAACTTCTGGAGAATGAGTTGTTGTCAATTTCACAACGTGATATGACGATTGCTCAGTACTTCCACAAGGTCAAATCGATCTGTCGGGAGATTACTGAACTAGACCCAAAGTCCGCCATTGTAGAATCTCGAATGAAGAGGATTATAATCCACGGATTGCGACCAGAATATCGAAGCTTCATTGCTGCTGTACAAGGATGGCCCACTCAACCATCACTGGTAGAGTTCGAAAATTTGTTAGCCAGCCAAGAAGCCATGGCTAAACAAATGGGAGGCTTCACGTTGAAGGGTGAAGAAGCACTCTACACGAGTGAAAGTCAGAGCAATAATAGGCCGTCTACCAGACGTGGATACAATGGTGACAAAAGAAGAAGCCACCAAGGGATTGCACAACCTGAGAGAGCTCAGAAGAACGACAACAAGAGTTTTCAAAGAACGAGATTTGGTGGTATTTGCTATAACTGCGGGAAAAAGGGCCATATGTCTAGAGATTGTTGGTCCAGGAAAAAGACCATTGAAAACAATGTGGCAATATCCAAAAAGAAGATAGAAGATGAATGGGATGCAGAGGTACTATGTCCCATAGAAGAAGACGAGCTAGCACTCATGGCGACAATGGAAGACCATATCAACTATGAGAATGACTGGATCGTTGATTCAGGATGTTCAAATCACATGACTGGCGATCAGAGAAAATTGCAAGACAAGAAAGAGTACAAAGGAAGTCGTATGGTACGTACAGCAAATAACACACAGTTATCAATTGCTCAAATCGGCAATACGACAATCATGCCTGGCAATAAGTCTGATACAGTGTCGCTACATAATGTTTATCATGTACCGGGTATAAAGAAGAACTTGTTGTCAGTGTCACAACTAACAACATCAGGAAGCTATGTCTTGTTTGGGCCAGAAGATGTAAAAGTTTATCAAGATGTTAAGATAATAGGAAAGCCGACGATAGAAGGACGAAGAGTGGAGTCTGTCTACGTTCTATCTGCAGAGTCTGCCTATGTTGACAAGACCCGAAAGAATGAGACGACAGATCTATGGCATGCAAGATTGGGACATATTAGCTACCATAAGTTGAAGCTGATTATGGAGAAATCTATGCTCAAAGGTCTACCACAACTGGAAGTCAAAACAGACGTTGTCTGCGCTGGATGTCAGTATGGTAAAGCTCATCAATTACCATACAAAGAGTCAAGTTTCAAAGCAAAGAAACCATTAGAGTTAGTTCACTCTGATTTGTTCGGCCCAGTCAAACAAGCATCGATCAGCGGAATGCGGTATATGGTGACATTTATTGACGACTACTCAAGATATGTGTGGATTTTCTTTATGAAAGAAAAGTCTGACACGTTCTCAAAGTTTCAAGAATTCAAGATGATGGTCGAAGGAGAAGTAGGAGCGAAGATTCGTTGTCTACGTTCAGACAATGGCGGAGAATACACGTCAGATGAGTTCGATCAATATTTACACGAGTGTGGGATACGACGTCAATTTACATGTGCCAACACGCCACAACAAAATGGTGTAGCAGAAAGAAAGAATCGACACCTTGCAGAAACCTGTCGAAGCATGTTACACGCAAAGAACGTTCCAGGAAGATTTTGGGCTGAAGCTATGCGAACTGCTGCCCATGTGATCAACAAGCTTCCTCAACCAAAGCTAGGGTTCGTCTCACCATTTGAGATACTATGGGATATGAAACCTACAATTAGTTACTTCCGAGTATTTGGCTGTGTTTGCTATGTATTTGTGCCTGACCATCTACGTAGCAAGTTTGACAAGAAAGCAGTCAAGTGTGTATTTGTTGGATACGACAATCAAAGAAAAGGATGGAGGTGCTGTGATCCAACAAGTGGAAAATACTATACATCAAGAGATGTAGTTTTTGATGAAGCATCTACATGGTGGTCCTCGGAGAAGAAAGTCTTATCAGATTCAAACATTGAAGAAATTCTACAACAGAAGCTGGGGGAGCAAACTACACAAATTCAATCAAATTTCGATGCATCTGAAAATCCAAGCGACATTGATATTGACAAGCAGGAGGTGACTCAATCAAGCGAATCTGATAAAAATGAAACAACACATCAACAACTTAGGCGATCAAATAGAATCCGAAGGCCAAATCCTAAGTATGCAAATGCAGCTATTGTAGAAGATAGAGTTTACGAACCAGAGACATATGAAGAAGCATCACAAAACTCGGTTTGGCAGAAAGCGATGGAGGAAGAAATTATAGCCTTGGAGCATAATCAAACTTGGGAACTAGTGCCAAGACTAGGAGATATCAAACCCGTCTCTTGCAAGTGGGTCTATAAAATAAAGCGTCGACCGGATGGATCAATCGAGAGATACAAGGCTCGACTCGTGGCTCGAGGATTTTCTCAACAATATGGACTAGATTATGATGAAACATTCAGTCCAGTGGCAAAGATTACTACCGTACGAGTTCTGCTAGCACTCGCAGCAAGTAAAGATTGGAAACTGTGGCAAATGGATGTGAAGAATGCCTTCTTGCACGGAGAGCTAGACAGGGAGATTTATATGAACCAACCAAAGGGATTTGAGAGTGCAGCTAATCCTAATTATGTATGCAAGCTTAGAAAAGCTCTTTATGGACTGAAACAAGCACCGAGAGCTTGGTATGGTAAGATTGCTGAATTTCTTACCCAAAGTGGTTATTCAGTTGCGCATGCAGACTCAAGCCTATTCATCAAAGAAAGAGAAGGAAATTTGACAATTGTGTTGGTCTACGTGGACGATTTGATTATCACCGGGGACGATGAAAGAGAAATTTATCAAACAAGAGAAAATTTATCAATACGCTTTCAGATGAAAGAGCTAGGAGAGCTTAAACACTTCTTAGGCCTAGAAGTTGATCGCACAGATGAAGGACTGTTTCTCTGCCAACAAAAGTATACCAGAGACATGCTTCAGAAGTTCAACATGTTAGAGTGCAAGCAAGTTTCAACACCGATGGAGATAAATGCCAAGATTTGTGCACATGAAGGCAAAGAGTTGAACGATGAAACAACGTACCGACAACTAGTAGGTAGTCTTATCTACCTAACTTTAACTCGACCTGATATCTCGTATGCAGTTGGGGTTATGAGTCGATACATGCAAAGTCCAAAGAAGCCTCATCTGGATGCAGCTCGACGGATCTTGAGATATATCAAAGGTACAATCGACTATGGTCTTTTGTACAAAAGAAGCAAAGACTGCAAGCTAGTTGGATACTGTGATGCTGACTATGCAGGAGACCACGATACTCGGAGGTCAACCACTGGGTATGTGTTCAAGTTTGGTTCGGGAACAATTTCTTGGTGTAGCAAGAGACAACCAACAGTATCATTATCAACTACAGAAGCAGAGTATAGAGCAGCGGCTGGAGCAGCCCAGGAAAGTACATGGCTAAAACTCTTGATGGAAGATTTGCACCAGAAAATTGACTATCCAATATCACTTCTTTGCGACAACCAATCTGCGATTCGCCTTGCAGAAAATCCAGTGTTTCATGCTAGAACAAAGCATGTGGAGGTGCACTACCATTTCATTAGAGAGAAGGTCCTAAAGGAAGAAATTGAGATGCAGCAGATCAAGACAGATGACCAAGTGGCAGACTTGTTTACAAAAGGGTTGAATACTAGCAAACATGAGAGCTTTCGCTGTCAGCTCAACATGATGCAGCGAATGAGGACTAGTGCTGAGGGGGAGTGTTGAAATATCATCACTAGCCCAATAGAGTCAAGCCCAATAATTGTACTAGCCCAATAGAGTCAAGCCTAATTGTACGAGCCCAGTATATTTATTTTAGTAGAGATTTTAGGAGAAAGAGATGTAGATATTTTAGGAGAAAGATTCAATTTGTTAGGTCTAGATTCAAATCGGTTAGGTCTAGATTTAGATTGGTTAAATATAGATTGTTTACTCTTAGTATAAATACCCCCACCCTACCTAGGTTATTCATCCAAGAAATCTAAAAACAATAAAAAGCAGAAGTATTCTACAGAGTGTCTTGTATTCTCTTCTCGATTGGTCTTAATAAAGAGAGCGAGTGTTTCCCACAGTGAGTTGTGTTCAACACTCCTCCCTCTTCACTTTCACTCTTTCACCTTTCTTCGCCGGTCTCCCCACCCCTCTCTTCCCTCTCACCTTCTCTCTTTTTATCCCTTCCTTCTTCCTCTCTTCTTCGTCGTCGCCTTCTTCTTCTTCTTTTAAACTCTCACAACAATTCTGCTTCATTCTCTTCAAAAACCTTACAGCCCCTTGCTTCTTCTTCATCTTCTTCTTCCTCACTCGCTCTTTCTTTTCCATTCCAACCTCCATCCCATCGTGAGAGCTAAGTTCGTTCCCCCCGTATTCGTGCTTCACTTCCCCATTCTTTTTCCTCCCATTCAAACCCTTCTTCCATCCACCCTTCTCGTATATTTTTATCTCCACACAATCACCAACCTCCGATTTCCCTTTAATCTCCCTTGATTTCTTCTCCGCCTTTTTGCCACCCACATCCCATACCGCCGCAACGGAGTCGCTTTTACGACACCCCACCATTGCAGTAGTACATGGCTTGGTGGGTTTTGATTTGGCGACTGTGGGTTGGGGCTTTCGTGCTTTGTCATTCATCTCTTCCAACACGAGAGCCCGAAGCTTAACCGCTGCATCGTTTTCGGGGGAAGTTGTGTGGAAGAAAATGATGGCGTTATTGAAAAGGAGGAGGAGATCTCGGAAGAAAAGGTGAAATGAATCCGCATACGCGCCTTTAACCACTCGAGCGCGAATCGTTCTCAGGTCGATGTGTTGGCGAATCAAGTTTATGTATCTATCCGATTCCTGCAACAATTAAACAACGGGCTTAAAAACAGGGACTTCCTACCCTCACTTTCACTGCTACACATCCAACGCACACAAAACCCCCCCAAAAAAGGACAGCTTTGGAAACCGTTCTGAACCCAATATACAGGCTCCGGTCGAATCGGAACCCATTTCAGCAATGAACGCCTGGGATATTTCTCAACTGCCACGTATTTTCTTCAAAAATATTAATTTTTGGGGGTTCAAGAATTAAAATGAATTTTGGGCCACTACACTTGATTTAACTAACGCGATTGGGGGTGCGGCAGTTTGAGGTTAAACGACACAGTTTTGGTACGCAAGGGTTATCGATCGCATGCCTGCGTGTTAAGATGACAAGGCTCAGATTCCATGTACAACCACAGCGCATGTCACCAAACTGTCCTACTGTAAGGACTAAAACACCCTCCATTTCTTGTCTTCGTGTGAATACTGAAGGACAAAATAGTCCTTATCCGCCCCCAAGTACAAAACCGTGGATTTAACATCCACCTGGACAACTTGAGGATGAATCATCCTGGCCGTTCATCGTGTGATTCCTTCTTTACCACGTCACTTTTTCTTATCCAATCTCCCATTCCCAACCCCCCCCCCCCTTTTTTCAATTTTATTTTTTAATTAATTAACAGTAAAGCACGAAAATGGGGCCAACGTACCTGGCTCCGTACGCGGCGCTCGAAGGCAGAGCCAAGCCGATGGGAGCGAATGATCTCGAGAAATTTGAGCAACGCTTCAGATTTGACGGCTGACGGCTTGGGCTTGGGCTTGGGCTTGGGCTTGGCGGGAGACACCTCGGGCTCTTCGCCGCTGCTGTTACGACACCGTTTCCTCTGAGACAAACTGCCTGAGCTCTGCACGTCGCTACTTTGTTGCTTCGACACAGCCCCGTCTCTCCCTTCTTGCTTCGACTCGCTCACCGATTCCCACGCTTCGTTCGAATCGCCCACCGCCGTTTGACTCCTTCTCGAACTCCTCCAATTTCTTTCTTTATATCCTCCCCCCGCCACCGAGTTCTTTTCTCTTTCCGGCTCTGGCTCCCCTGCTGCGCCGTTGAATGACCATTCCTTCCCCGGTTTATCACCGGTTCGGGGCGGCCCGGTTCCCGTGATCTTTGAAATTTTGACTGATTCGGGTATCTGGTTCTCCTGAACGACGCCGTTCTGTCGAACCTCGTATTTTTTACTCGTCGAATTGGATTCGTTGGGAGATCGAATGTTCTTGCGATTGTCGGAGTCGTCTTCGGAGGCGGTCGGGTTTTGAGGGCGGAGATTCGTTTTTACGGCGTCGGCGTCGGCGTCCGGATCCGGTCCGCCATGAGGTTCGTGGAAACTGGGGTCCCTCTCCTCCTCCAACCGCTTCACCTTCATTTCCAATGACCTGTTGACACAACGAAAAGGGGGAAAGATGTTCAGATCTCTAAACCGACCAATCAGTGGGGGTCAGATCTCTGAGTGGAAGAGCGAGAAATTTACACGATCAAGGCATCCCGACGTTGAACATCGCGACGGAGCTCTTCGACCCGAATCTTTCTCAACTCGTCAAGCATAGGCAAGAGGGAGGAAGAATCAGAATCGTGGAGGTTTTGGGAGAGAAAACGGCGCTTGAGGTCGTAGAACTTGTTCCTACAATCTTGGGGAGTAAGAGAGGAAGGGGATTGAGAGAATCTATTGTGTAGTTCCATGGCGACGGAGTCCCAACTGGCGGTCCCGTGGCGGTTGACGGCGGAGGCGAGCAAAAGGTCCCCCAGCGTGCCCCATGGTTTGGGGTTGGTTTGGCGTTGCATAACCATGTTTCCAGCTTCTCTCACGTCATCATTCGCATTTCGAATTTAGGGTTTAAGGCGATTGAATTCAAAAATAAAAAATGAAGAACAAATCCAAAGGGACTCTTTCTCTTCCTTTTTGTTGTATCGTATTGAAGTTTGAATGGGGATTTTATTTTGGTGGTTGGTTGTGTTTTTGTGTAATATAGAAGAGAGGAGAAGAGAGGAGTGAAGAGTCTCTGTTTTTTTCTTTTGGGTTTTGATTTTGTGCTATGTGCGGGGCGAGATTTGGTTCCCATAAATATTAGGCCCGGCTTTCATCCCCCGGCTCCCCTCTAAAATATTTAATACATATATTAATCGGATGTCACGTTCATCCTAGAAATAGGTGAAAACTCTCGTAACAAGTTTTCATTACAATACACCCAGTTTTCATATTCCAAATATAAAAATATGTATATAACGTTGAAGGCAGCGAAACATGAGATAACGAGGGATAGGAAGGTAATTTAAATGAACATTCTGATGCCGCCGCCGCCGCCGCCGCCGCCGCCTTCCATACCAGGAAAGAATAAAATACCAAAACAAGCAGAGGCAGTGAGTGTGAGAAATAAATGTTAATTTTTCAACCCATTTATTTTGGGAACTCACTACTGGGCCACCCCCAAAATCCCAAAACTACACAATTTTGGGCCGAGTCTAGATTGGGCTTGGGCTTGGGCTTGGTTCTACCCTACGCATGTCATCAACCTCACTCCTGGGTTAGACTCGTAAATAGAGGAACAAAAGGGCCAGCCTAGGCGCCGAACCCCCCACATTAAACGTGAAAGTCAGAACGACCTGGCATATTATTGGTCAATTAGAGGTGCCACGGATCGCAATCCAACCTTCAACAAATCTACGCCGTTCGATTGCTTCCTTATTTACGGTCCAAACTGAACCTCCAAAAGTTTCAGGAAGCGTGCCATTTCTTTTCAACTTCCCGCCATTCGTAATTTGGCCTCCCTATAACAAGCCCCGAAACCATGATCCTAAACCACCCACGACATTTTCGACTTCTCTACCGCAAGCCATACATATTCCCTCTCTACCTAAGACTCCTGATATTTTCGTCACTAATGGCCCGAACTAAGCAAACTGCTAGGAAATCAACCGGAGGAAAGGCTCCAAGGAAGCAACTGGCTACCAAGGCCGCCAGGAAATCAGCGCCGGCGACCGGCGGAGTGAAGAAGCCTCACAGGTTCAGGCCAGGGACTGTGGCATTGAGAGAAATCCGCAAATACCAGAAAAGCACGGAACTTCTCATCAGAAAGCTTCCTTTCCAGAGATTGGTTAGAGAAATCGCTCAAGATTTCAAGACTGATCTTCGTTTCCAGAGCAGCGCCGTTGCGGCCCTTCAGGAGGCAGCCGAGGCTTACCTCGTCGGTCTCTTCGAAGATACCAATCTCTGTGCCATTCATGCCAAGAGGGTCACCATTATGCCTAAGGATATCCAGCTCGCTAGAAGAATCAGGGGTGAGAGGGCTTAGGTTTCGGGGTTGATTGTATGTGCATCTAGTTCTAGGGTTTTTTATATTACAGCACAAATCTATTTCAAGAATATCGAGTTCTGAATCTTGTTTGGCACCTGTTTGATGAAATCCCTGTAAAATTTCTCATCTTAATGGTTAATTGGCTCATAGTGTTAAACTTTCTGATGTGTGACGAATTTTGTTCTTTTGAAGCTATATAACTTGATGATTTGATTCATTTCCATTAGTCTTCCGATAGAACATTGTTTATTGAATTTGCGGTCTTGTATTAGTAGGAATGAACGAGTGAAGGCACTCGATCACTATGTAATTTCTGTTTACATACACAAGCGGGAAAGGACAAAAAATACTAACATTGATGTTATATACGAGTACTGTTCTTTGGCGGATTAGAGACCACCAAAATTAAAGCCAATCAAAATCATTTCCAATTGCTCGAGAGGGAAAATTCGTGGAATCTGAAGGAAAGCTCACCTGCGGCGTCTCTCTCTGTTCTGATGGACGACTCATCAGTACTAACGGTTCCGCTCTCACTGAACGCATCCGCTGGTAGTGGTTGTATCTGGTTATCATTTGGCTGGCGGACCAGCTGAACTTCTGCAGGCAATGCCAGTCGCTCTGGAGCTGCCGGCTGCGACGCCGTCGGTCTTTGCCTAGTTTGGGCAGCGGTGATTAAAGAAGCCATCAATTCTCTGTCCCATAAAAAGAGGTGTAGGAAGATTGGGACCTTGGCGTGCCTATGCAATGACAGCTTCTGGCTTAGTGAAACTGTGTCGAAGCATCGAATTGCACCGGTGGAAGACACTATCCATGGGAGAACCTTTTGATTAGAAACTCTAGAGATTATTAGCAACTTGGATGCATTTTCAGCTTCCTTGTACAGATTGTTCAGCCCTGACCTTGTAGAAGGCGAATTGGCATCTTCATCCACCGCAGTAACATAGATGAATCCCTGCCATTTACCACCAATACAATACAAAAAGCTTAGCTTAGAATAGAATGGAATAGAATAGAATTACCAATAGAATTACCTCTTCTGTGCGACCAATGGAAAAGCCCAGCTTAGAATCTCCTTCTTTTAGCTTGATCTCAATAGGAAGCTCCCCTCCGAGAGGAGCATACCAAAGACGAACGGATCGAACCACGCCGATATCAACCCCATGGTAATCTTCAAAACCGTAGAGACTGGCATTGGCGAGATTGGACAAATCAGACAAGGAACCAGCACTAACAGTGGAAGAAGCCGTGTCTCCGGATATCTGGAAACGAGGCAGAAACATGTTAAAAGTTGAAACTGCAGGAGCTGAAACGAAAAAAAAAAAAAGGGGACCTTAGTTAAGAGGGACTCGGTCTGGATGTTCATAAAGACAATGGGGACGCCAGTGGCCTGAGCTGAATTGAGCCATGCATTGGCTCTGGCAAGGGTGTCTTCCAAGTCGTTGTAGCGAGTGGCGACTTCGTTTGCAGCTTTGGGGAGCAGAAGAATGGAAAGAAAAGAGCTGGAACACGGAACAGAGAGCGACTCGTGCATTCTTCTTTCCCAGTGGTAGGATACATATCCATCTTGAAGCCTGCTTCTTTCCAATGCACTCACCATTCTGTCACTCCTAGATGCTGCAATCATTTTTGATGCCCAACTAGCATTTTAAAACCCCCACTTGCTTCTCTAATATTTAGCATTCAATAAACCTAAATTCAACATCTAATCGACTAATTCCTAATTTTGAAGAATTAAGGAGGATGGAAGACTTTCATTTTTTTAAAAAAAAAAAGAAAAAAGAAAAAACCCAAATGGAAGTTATTGCTATGTAACACGTGTGAAAGTGAAACTGGGGAGCTGAAAGAAAAGTCAAAAAAACAGGGCGCCATGAAAAGCAGGCCAACCTACCTTGAAGGTCGAAGCATTCCGACTCGGTCCGATCCACAAACCCGACCACGTAATTCGGGTCCGTGATGGACCGGAGAACGTACTGCTTCTTTCCGCCGGAGTCGTTGGGGACAATACAGGCCTGCAACTCAGAGAACTCGTCTGGGCCTCGCCGGACCCGAACGACGATGGAAGTCTGCTTGTCCTTGAAGGAACCGTGTAGAATTCTTTGGATTCCGGAGCGGCCGTTCTTGAAAGGGGCTCGGACGCACAGAGAGGAGCCGATGGTTAGCTCCTCGACTATGTCGCCGGTCTGAAGCATGTCGCCGGTCCACTCGTCGGCGCGCGAGCTTCCTTTGAGGCATTCGATGGAGAGAACGATGAGCCTGGTGCTGGGAGATTCGGAGGAGGCCTGAAGTCGGTCCATGGGCATCTTAGGAAGACGCAGAGAGGAAAGAAGAAGAAGAAGAAGAAGAAGAAGAAGATTTAAGGAAATGAGAAACACAGAGAAACCGATTGCTTCTGTGTTCTATCGTCACATTCCACAAGTCAACATTCCCAAGTTTTTTATAACCAATTTTAATTTCAACCAATTCAAAAATAATATCTTTTTTCCTTTCACAAATCTCCACAATTTTGAAATTAGTTGCAGAAAGTAGATATAAAATAAAAAGATATTATCGAAAATGACCAAAATTATGAAGTTTTTCAATTTCGCTCTCATCCCATACACACAAATCTATCGAACTCCTACAAAAGATTTCAAAGATATTAAATTAATGTTTATTATGACGTCGACTCCTCCGGTTTCCGAATATTTTAGTATTTTAATTCTGGGATAAAACACTCAAACCCACTTTTAAATTCCACACAAATTGTTTAAACTAACTGAGTTAGGCTATGTGAAACTAACTCCTCCTTGTATGTTTATAGCTTTTTTAAAAATTTGTTATTTATTTATTTTTTATTTTTTGGGGTGCGTAATTTCAAACAAAGCCAGCTGGCAGTTTGACATTTTCAAACAGTGCGTTACGCAGGCATCTTCCATAAATAATTTGCGTTACTTGATTTTTCCTTACAAAAATTAATTTTATAAAAGTGGACCCAATAATATCAATGTTTAACCTCAAAATATTCTGGGTCAAAATTCTTTTATTTTACTAAAAATTTAACTCTAACGTCATAAATCAATCCTAGAATAGAATATTAATTTAAGCCGAATTTGACAATGACATAAATACTAGAATTTTAGAATATGATAATGTTAATATAATTGATAGGTGACAAACTAGAAGAATGGAGAAGGTGTTTAAAGAACAATAATTTATTAGATGGAACGAAAAAAACTCCTCAAAACAAAATAATTAATGGACACACGGATTCAAAGAATATTGTTCCAAAGAAAATATATTTTAAAATAATTTGCATTAAAAGAAAAAAAAAAAAGAAAGCCGAAGGAATGGAGATGGAAAGGTGGGAGTTGGATTCCAAGTTTATTGGCAGCCCCTGACAATTCCAAATCATGCGTCATCCACCTTTTTCTTTCCTTCATATTTTGAAGAAAAATCCCAGAAAAGCACCCACCGAGGATGTCTGTATTAATGTGAATGCAGGAATTATCCTTCACACCACAAACCCCATGTTCTAAACATTTCTCTTTCCTTCCCTTCCTTGGTTCCAGTTTGAAAGCGTCTTCTCATCATCTCTCCCCCTCTTCGCCTCGGCGATGGTGTCGACGTTACTACTGCTTTTCGATTGTTCCCCCCTATTTCATTCAAACGGGTTCCCATTTCAGGTTTCCACCGGGACTCTGAACTTGACGCTCTCTTCTTCGTACCTGACTTCTGGCTTGTTCTTCCCAAACAAGGCTCGCTACTATCCTGCTTTCTTGTTGGGGGAGGTTGTGAGATATCTGAGTCCGAAGATGAAGGACTGGTACTACTCTCCATGTCGTAAAGAAGGTTATCCGTCATGTATGGGATTGGCTGCATTTCCGACCTTGATGTACTTGAAGAGGAGGGTCTCCGAAGCCTCGTCAGTTGAATAACCTAACAGACACACGAAAACTCAGATTCCAGCAAGGCTACAACTCGTAAAGAGCTCAAATAAATTGGTACCTTCTGTTCAAGAACGACCATGTCCTTTTTCAGTTTTGAAATAATGGTGTTCTTCCGACGAATGATGTCTTCCAACTCTGACATCCTCTGTGGACATCGAAAATACAAGAAGGGTCAGGTCATCAGGGGGAAAATCAAGAGGATCAGAGGAGTATGATTATTATTATTATTATTACCTGTGTACCAGAAACCTCAGACGAATGGAGTAGATCGGTTAGTTCCTTGATGGCTGCGTCTTTCTCGTCACAATCTTTCTTCAGAAATAACATATCTTGTTCGATGGATAAGGTATTCATCTGTAAACAATAGACCAAAAGGATCATAATAACATGAAGGCTTCATATCTTTGGCAGCACCAATATTGAATTCTGAATCATTTGGAACTTTTTTGCCGTGCCGTCACTCTCTAATGCCCAATTCCCAAGACATTATAAAACTGTGAATCATTTGGAGAAAATTGGTAAAATATTAGACTGACCTGGATATCAGCAGCAGATGTGACACTGGAACCCCAATCTGATAAATCAGACATCCGACGCTCCTCCTGCTCTGCTTCGTTCATTTTATATTGCAACATCTCTGCCCCGCAAGAGGGTTTTGTTGCGGCGTTACCCTGCTCAAGCGAATCAACCATAAACAAATAAGGGAATCTGAATCTGAGTTCATAATTTTCAAAGCCACAATAGAGAATTGAGTGTTTTTACCTCCAAACGACCGAGTGAATCCAGATGCTGATCACAAAGCCAACAGCCACAATCAACAGACTTAATTTTGTCATGGCCGAAAACCCCAGAGTCTGCCAAATCAGCATCTTTTCTCAACGCCATGTCCTTCTCACCTCCAGACTGATCCTCATCGAGATTGACTTGATTAAATAGATCTTCAAGCTTCTGCTGCATGCTTAGAAGCACTTGATCCTGGTTATTCCAAACACGAAGAGTGTTATTAAGAAAAATGGCCCGCAAAAACATAAACAGTTAGTTACCCTTTAAGAACGACTGCAAGCAATCGAGCAATTTAATCTTAGCTGACAGAGAACTCTCTGGCCTCGAAAATTTAGAATCAGAATCAGACACGATTAGGACAAACAAAACAAGTGGTATGCAGTTGTAAACGCATGATTGCAAAATAGACAACAAGTGAGGATATTCAACAGATATTACTTAGTTTCGGTTATATTCATCGAGGCACACGCCAAAATTTCAAAATCTATTCTAAAATTTACCCGCCATTTGCGCATCGATATTTTATAAATACCATTTTACTGGATGTTGATTCCAATTTCAAAATCTGATTTGTTATGTTAAATCATTCACAGAACCATTATTACCAGAGGGAAAAAAAACTTGAAGCCGAATTAAGAAAGCACAATACCCTAAGTTCAACAGCTCTTGTAAGCTGGCCGATCTGATGGTTCTTCTTGGACTCGGAAACCGCGACGCCAATCACGGCAACGAGAAGAAACCGCTCAATGGGGCTGAACAACTGCCAAGCAATGGCTTCGTCAGGGCCCAAGCCGCCTCTAATAGATCGCACTGAGCTGGCCTGTTCGGCATTAACAAGCCGCCCCTGAAGAGAAACCCAAGCTAGCCGTCGAGCGGCGGGGATCGGCGGTCTAGGTTGAGTGAAGTTGCTAGAGAGGCGGCGCTGTGAAGGCGTACGGACAGGGGAGGCAAAAGAGACCACATTGGGGAACGATTGAAAAACGGTACGTTGGAAATCTTGATCGTTCATGGCGGAAAGAAATGGAAAAATGCAATTGCGGAAAACGACGGTAAGTGCAAATTGTTGAACTCCAATTTAAATTCTTAGTTTGTAGAGGGAAATTTTGAAAATATAGGGAAAAGTAAACGTTGATATTTTTCTTGTTTGTCCTTTTACCATAAATTTAATTTTGCATTATACACTATATTATAGGACACCAACAATTATTTTGTTGGTCAAACAAACTTAATTCTTTTGATTATAAGTTTTAGGTACTAAACCAACTTCCAAAACATGTTTAGATGCATTTGAACGCATTTGGTTGTACTTTCTTTTTATATCAAAATCTAAAACATTATTATTATTAATGAACCTGACAGGAAATGGGGAATCAATCGGCCCTCCTCACATCTTGGGCTTTTAGATTCTGGGCTTTTTCTGGGCCGCTTATGAACCTCGACAAATTCACTTCTCCCCATATGATGTGCTTGGTCTCCTCCTACATTTCTCCCTTTCTCCCTCTCCACATGCACGTCCACATGCATATACCAAACTTAATCAAACCCCACCCTGTTTTTAACTCTTATAATATACAAATCAAAGCAATAATAATCAGCAACCTATGTAGAAGAATATATGCCCTTGAAACAATAACCTAATTTCCTAACCAAATTAATTAATCAATGCAGCCAGCTAGCTCCTCGTCCTTGATGTGCAACCCAGTTAATTAATCAATTATCCGGAACACTGCAAGATCTTGGTTTGAATACATTTTTTTTAAAAACAAAAGAAACAACCGAACCCAATTAATGCGTTTTGATGTGAGACATTTGCAAGAGGACAGTGAAGGGTAGAGAGGGAAGGAAGAAGAAAGTCGTAGCATTCCACAAACTCCAACCTAATAAAATCCTAATAAAGGTATTAAAGAAGTGAATCTGTTGGTGTAGCTTTAGGCTATGGATATGGATAAGAAAATCCCATGTCGGTTGGGTATGTACGAGTATGGTAACAAGTCTACAATGAGTGAGGTCATTTTCATGCCAGACCCATTTTAAAATGAGTTGAATTATGCATCTTCCATTGCAATCAGTTGGAGGTTGATGGAGGGCTGTGTTGTCTCCACGTACTTTGAATGATTTTCAAATTTATGTATATCAGACCACATAATGAATGGCCCCATTCGAAACGTGGTGATGTTCAAGTTCATCAACCCAGCCACCCCCACCTCCGGTACAGCTTCGCGATAAGCCTAAATTCAACCCCATTTAATGCATTAGCTAAGCGACAAGGGGTTTTCTATTCATCATCCCACATTTGATTGAATACTAAGATGCACAAACGTAATGTCAAAGTTAATGCTCAATCATATGCATCTTAGGCCTGCAGGGAAGTTTAATTTAGTTCTCAAATTGTGAGGATCCATCACCCACAGCTGCCTGCACCCACCCACCTCCTTCCCAGCGCCATAGCATCAGCTATTAATACGCCAAATATACCTAAACTCAACCTCTGCCCTACTTTACTTGCCCCAGATTCATCAAATATGCTAATAAACTAATAAAATATTAAATTACTATGAAATTTAAATGAATAAAAAGTTTTTTGTATTTGTTTTTTTCATCTTGAGTCAACTCATGAGTAAACAATTTCTAAAATTGTACAATATTTTCCATTAAAAAAAAAATAATAATCTAACACAACATATGCCAC